AGGGATGGCGGAGTGGGGGGAGGATTTTTCAGACCAGCTGAGGTGGAAAAAGTCCCCTGGATCTGGAGCGCAGCTTTTCAAGTTTCCTCACGCTGTTCCCGCATTCCTTCTTTCAAATAAGAGCAGCTTTCTAGTCTTCATGAACAGAGCAGAATAACAAGAGTTGGAAGGGACCTCAGAGGTCATCAAATCCAGCCCCCCCCGCTCGGGCAGGAGAGAACCTATTGTTTCTCTCCTTGATTCATTTCCATCCGTCGCTTCTTGCCCTGCCCTCCAGGGGCTTTGGAGTACGGCTTGACTCCCTCTTCTTTGTGGCTACCCCTGATGACTGCTCACTAGCCCAGTTCCCTGCGGTGATTCACTTAACCGCGGAAATTGGGGCCACAAGTCGAGGACTAAGTGCAATGAAATGGACGTTCGCCTCGATTAGCAGATTCAGAAGCTCCAGATGGGCACTGAAGGACTTGAAGTGGAATATTATATGATATGGGATTTATTTTATAAATGGTTGGAAGATAAAGAAATTAAATGAATGTAGGGTAAAATGCATTAAGATCGTTATAATGATAAGATAGATAAGGATGAATAGTTTTTAATATGAATGTAATCACAGCAAGAAATGTATACTAAATATAAACATTTGCACAAGATATATGTACCCAGTCGACACACTGTATAACTGAAAGACAGATTTGTGGTAAGATAAAATAAAATAAAAAATATTATTTTTAAAAAAGTAAAAGGACTTTCCTGCTTATGGAATGTCTGCAACCCAAATTTTGCAGACCAAAGTTTTTCTTCTTCTTCTTCTTCATCCTCATCCTCATCTTCCTCTCCATGGGCTCTCCTTTGACTTGGTTGATGGGCAAGCAAACTCTATCTACCCAAGAAGGTGTCAACTTTCGCGGGCTCCTCTCACCGTTCAAGATTACATTAAAAGATTAAAAATGATACCTGCCTACGCTATTTATTTATCTTCCTCCCTGCTGGAGACTGCCCAATTAATTTTTGCAATCAGAGCGACCTATGAATATCTTTAAAAGGCTTCCCTTTGCATGAAAATACCACCATTTCCTTCTTTGGATGTTTGCCTGCTTTGCACGGGAGGGCAAAGTTTGTTTGTACCTTGTGGGGCTGACTTTGCACTGCCCAAACTATAAAAGCCCCGAGGACACCACACCTAAACATAAAGACGGCAATTTATCCAGGACAGGCCGGGAAACGTCAGCTGACTCACACACAACCTTCTACAAAACCACAATTAGCCAGGAGGCTTAAGAAGTGATTTCATCAAGGTTGTTGTGCTGTGTTTTTTTGACATGTTCCCTCCCTTCAGGTACAGAAGATGAGATGGTTGCCAAAGAGCATTGCGAGCAATTAAAGAGATTGTGAGAGCTATAGTATGTTGAAGGTTAGCAAATAATTCTCTATACTGAATGCGCCTCGTTTCTATTCCTTCCCAGAGAAAATGGATCGTTTTGTTAAGCCAAGGGTCTTCCAACTTGGCCAAGTTTAAGACTTGTGGACTTCAACTCCCAGAATTCCTGAGCTCACATGACTGGAGGAGGAATTCTGGGAACTGAAGTCCCCAAGTCTTAAAGCTGTCAAGTTTGAAGAGCCCTGCAATAGATAGATAAAGAGAGGTAGAATAGATAAAGAGAGATAGATAGAATAGATAGATAGAGAGGGGAAAGAGAAAGAGAGAATAGATAGAATAGAGAAAGAAAGGTAGAATAGATAGAGATAGATAGAATAGATAGATAGAGGGAAAGATAGAATAGATAGATAGAATAGAGAGAGAAAGAGGTAAGATAGATAGAATAGATAGATAGAGGGAGAGAGAGAGAAAGATAGAATAGATAGATAGAATAGATCAAGGGTCTTCAAACTTGGCAAGTTTAAGAATTGTGGACTTCAACTCCCAGAATTCCTGAGCTAACAAGGCTGGAAGAGGAATTCTGGGGGTTGAAGTCCCCAAGTCTTAAAGCTGTCAAGTTGGAAGACCCCTGCTTTAAACTATGAACGGTTGCAGGAACTGGGCCTGGCTAGTCTAGTGAAGAGAAGGACCAGAGGAGACAGGAGAGCAGTTTTCAAATATTTGAGGGGCTGCCACAGAGAGGAGGAAGGGGTCAAGCTATTTTCCAAAGCTGCCAAAGGCCAGACAAGGAATAATACGGATGGAAACTGAACAAGGAGAGATTCAACCTGGAAATAAGGAGAATTTTCTGACAGGGAGAACAATCAACCCATGAGACAGAAGTTGCCTTTGGAAATTGTGGGAGCTTCATCACTGGAGGCTTCCAAGAAGAGACTGGACTGCTCTCTGTCAGAAATGGTGTAGGGTCTCCTGCTTGGGCTGGGAGGGGTTGGACTAGATGACCTACAAGGTCCCTTCCAACTCTGTTAATCTGTAAACCCATTTTTACAAGAGTGGTTGCATTCAAACAACTTCATGATTCACTAGGCAAGCTAATAGGACACCCCTAACACTGTGTAACAGACCAGGTGGCAGAAGCGGGACAGGGACTTACGGTGTAAGTTTTCTACATGCGGTGTTTTTTTTTTTCTTCAGTTTGTCCTGGTTTCTTTCTCATTTTCCATCCTCTTCTTCCTCCCTCTATATATACGCCCTTCAGCGACTACGTAGGGACATTTGTCCACATGAAGAATAAACTGCTGAATGGCTCTGTTATTCTCTGCTATTTTGGTCCCAAAATTATGGGCTTGAAGGTCTACTTGTTGACATGGGTGGAGAAGAAGATGGGAAAGTGACATCTTGGTGATGGAAACAGAAGCCCAACATTTACTCCAGCGGCCAAAACGACTCGTGGCTTAAAGTAGCAACTTCCATGGAAAAAAAACAAACAAACAAGGGAAGCCAAACCCTAAACAAATGTAATATAACCTAAATAAATATGGGTTTTTCAGTCAAAGACACAGGGAAAAATAAGCATTTTGTGTGCCGCAGAAAGAGACTAATTTTCCCACACCTCTAATTCATTAAGACCACACCTAGAGCACTGCATCCAATTTTGGTCACCACACTATAAAAAAGATGTTGAGACTCTAGAAAGATGGCAGAGAAGAGCAACCAGGATGATGAGGAGACTGGAGGCTAAAACATACGAAGAACGGTTGCAGGAATCGGGCCGGGCTAGTCTAGGGAAGAGAAGGACCAGCGGAGGCAGGAGAGCAGCCTTCCAATATTTGAGGGGCTGCCCCAGAGAGGAGGAAGGGGTCAAGCTATTTTCCAAGGCACACAAAGGCCAGAGAAGGAACAATGGATGGAAACAGAACAAGGAGAGATTCAACTTAGAAATAAGGAGGAATTTTCTGACAGGGAGAACAATCAACCCGTGGAACAGAAGTTGCCTTTGGAAGTTATGGGAGCTTCATCCCTGGAGGCTTTCAAGAAGAGATTGGACTGCTACCTGTCAGAAATGGTGTAGGGTCTCCTGCTTGGGTGGGGGTGGTGGACTAGATGACCTACAAGGTCCCTTCCAACTTTGTTAACCCGTATCTATCCTTTCTCCGATTTGGAAGGGCTTCCTTCCATAGATAACATAAAACTATGCAAATGATAGGTGTGACAACAGGGACAGAGAGGCAAAACAAGGATCAGGAAAAGCTTTACAATATGCTGAGTTTGGCTTGCGTTCATTTATTCATGTTGTTAAATAATGAGCCCTTTGACAGCCCACTGGTGCCGTTTGGCTGGTTCTCCCATAAAACTTTTATCACTAAGAATGTCTGTCTGAGTTTGTCTAATTCCCACCTCCCAATTCTTTTCCCCTTTTAATGTCACATTTAAACTGAGCCCATGAGCAGGGGGCTAACTTGTTAGCTGTTAATCATAGCAACCCACCTTAAAAGACAGAATAAAAGAAGGATTCCCACCAGTCAAATAAGTGTGTGTAGAGAGGGTTATTTATATAAACAAGGTTATTTAAAGACAGGGTTGGAGAAAGAGATTAAGAAGTCTGAAAAAATCTAATAAAAAGGCAAAAAGATGACGGTGAAAAACACTTTGGAAAAGACACGTCCAGGACAATCAAATGTTGACTGAATTAAATATTTAAAGACGCTCCAAACCACAACTTGAAAACCTCTTCTCAGAACAATTAAAGTTCTAAATGACTAAAAAGCTACGTCTGGTGTGTTGTCCTATCGCACCTTCGCCTTCTCCCATCGCCTTCAGCAAACATACAGACTTCAGAGAGTAATCAGGACTGCAGAAAAATCAGTTACTACCAACCTGCCTTCCATCGAGGACCTGTATACTGCACAAGTCAAAAAGAGGGCTGTGAAAATATATCCAGACCCCTCACATCCTGGACATAAACAGTTTCAACTCCTTCCCTCAAAACGATGCTATAAGGCACTGCACACCAGGACAACTAGACACAAGGGGAGTTTTTTCCCGAATGCCATCACTCTGCTAAACAAATAATTCCCTCAACACTGTCCAACTATTGACAAAGCCTGCACTACTATTAATCTTCTCATCACTCCTTATCGCCCATCTCCTTCCACTTGTGACTGTATGACTGTAACCTTGTTGCTTGTATCGTAAATATTTATATTGACTCTTTCCTAGTATGATTTGATTGCTTATTGTACCCTATGACTATCATTAAATGTTGTACCTGAGGATTCTTGACGAAATGTATCTTTTTTTTATGTACACTGAGAGCATTTGCACCAGGACGCCAGAACTCAGATAAGAACTGTAAGACTAGAATTATTTCACGCTTTGCTTCCAGCACTGGGCCATGTGTAGTTTGTCCTTTTAAACAGTCCTCACAGTTGCAGCCCATGAAGGGGATCAGGGCCCCTTCCTCCCCATAGGCCATGCCATTCATGTTTCTCCCTGATCTGCTTCTCCCTGCGTGCCCTAGGATGAAGAGGGGATGGGCCTGGGTCCTCCTCTGACTGCCCAGCCAGCCTGTGCCCTTCCCCAGTTTCCTCCACATCCTCTGGAGCCACATTTCCACTCCCTGTCAGCTGTTCCCACACTCCCCCAGAGTCAGACTCCAACAGGGGCATGACAGAAAGCGGGAAGACGCAACTATGTTCATAAATAAATAAAACCAAAGGCCCAGCAGAATGCAAGAACTCACCAGCTCATCCAGGTTCTTGAGGTCGCACAAGGCTATCCTTTGCGTTTTGTTCAGGTACACGGGAGACTTGGGCGCCAAATCTTGGACCGCCTGCTCTTTCTTCAGCTCCCCGCAGGCCACCTGGTGGTCCCTCATCTCCTCCTCGATCTCCTCCTCCATCTGGATGAGCATGGGCGCCAACATCCCGAACTTGGAGCCCTTCCTGGCCACCTCCAGCAGACAGAGGACGAAATTCTTCTCGTTCTTCTTCAACACCAAGTCGTTCGTTTCAAACATCACCACGTCCTGGATGCCAAGCTCCTGACGGCACCACTGGATGAAGTTGGAGATGTTGTCCCTCGCGATGAACGAGCCGGGGACCACGTTCTTCGCTTGGAAGACCACCTCCTTCCGAGGGATCCTCATGTGGGAAGCGGCTCCTGGGTTCGACTGTTGGAACTCCAAGGCAATGCGGTTGACGTTGTTGGCGTGCTGGCAGAGGTCGTAGCCCGTCTCCAGGGCACCCATGAAGTTCTCCACCTGGACATCCAGGTCATAAAGGGTGTTCAGCCACTCGGCCAGGTCCTCCTTCATGGCGTACAGATAGTCCTCGCTGGACCGGAAGGGACGGATGCTCTTAGAAGCCGCCGACTGGATGTTACTGGTGTCGGCCATTGTTCAGGGTCTTGGAGTAGTCACTGTTGGGTGGAGAGGAGGAGGAGATGTCAGATATTGTAAAGGCAGCAAGTTATTCCTTCACAATAGAGCAGAGAAGTCTGTACCGTATTCACGAGAATAAAAAAAGATTGAAGGGGAAAAAATATCAACGTAGTAAGAGAGCCAGTTTGGACTTGCGCTTAAGGTGTAGGTCTAGAAACCAGGAGACTGGGAGTTCTAGTCCCGCCTTAGGCATGAAAGCCAGCTGGGTGACTTTGGGCCAAACACCAGGAGACTGTGAGTTCTAGTCCCGCCTTAGGCACATAAAGCCAGCTGGGTGACTTTGGGCCAATGACCAGGAGACTGGGAGTTCTAGTC